AACCTGATGCAGTTTATCGGTTTCTTTCTTTTATTGAGGCCCCAAATGGGGTGTCCCCAGGTGTCCCCCAGGTGTCAGCTTGCGAATGCTGAGCAGAGGGGAAGAATTGCTTCCCTTTGCTTGCTGGCTAAGCCTTAGCTGTTGCAGCCCGGGATGTGGCTGGCTTTCAGGATATAGCAGATATTTCAGACTCGGCGCAAGTGAGGGAAAATAGAAGCATTGGAAAGTGCTACTCAGCAAGTCCGTCACTAATGTCATCTCATGTTTTTCTTTCACCTAGAATGTTCCACCTGATTTGTCCATCTGCACCTTTGTGCTGGAGCAGTCTCTGTCAGTACGGGCCCTCCAGGAAATGCTGGCTAACACAGAAGAAAAGGCAGAAGGGGTAAGTTATTAAATATTCACTTTTTTTCATCCTGCAAAATACAACAATTTTTTTCCCACCGCACCAGAGATTTCATGACTGGCACAAGCTTACAACATCATGAATTCCTTATGTTTAATTTTTTTCCCTTGCTATAGGAATGGTCTGATTTTTGAGAAATTTTAAACACTTGCAGCTTTCACTGAAACTTGCCAGAGTTGTAAATTCCCAACAATTTAACTGCGCTGCAGGTCAGCATAGAGCTACAAGAATGTTTTCATTTGAGATCTCATGATATGAAATATAAAGCTTGATCACTTCTTCAGAACAGCTAAGCTTTCTGAGGATTTCTGACTGTATCAAGTGACACTGTGAAATAGTCTTAAAATGACTTATATGTGTGCTGTTTTTCCCCTGGAATTATTTCATTATTTTAATTAATATTTCATAATTTTATTATGAAATTGATCTGTGTGGCCTGAACTAAAATGTCCTATAACTCACCTTTAGAGCTGGAAATAGGATGTTATTGAGTCTTGGTGGACAAGAAATACGGAAACTGACAGAATTTTTCAGTCTGGAAGAGGAAGCATATGGGAATACAGTTAATTGTTTGACTAGCAAATAGGTATTTACAAATAAATCATAGTAGTGTACTTAATGTTCTCTACTTTGGAATTAATTTGATTTGTTATGATGTAGTTGAGTGTTCCATATACACCGTGTAGGGTTAATTTGAATGCCATGCTCCAGCTCAAAACCTATAAACCGTCAGTGAGTGTAGGCCCAGGAGTTATACAGATAAAAGAGAAGTAGGGGTTAACCATAATTCAAGAAAGCTGGCAGGAAAGAAGCATGCTTCTGATGCTTCTGGGAATACCTTGAGAAAGCAAACTTTAAATTAACATAGAATAGTCAGTCCCATACAATGCCAGGCACTGAGACTGAAAATGGTGTTTGGGAAATGAAGTCCAGGAGCAGTCCCATGGGTGAGCCAAAGTGTGTGCTGTCAGTGAGAATTTGTTCCAAGGACTAACTTCAACAGCAAGAGAATGAAAAGCACATCTTAAGAGAAGAGGTGGTACCAGAGTAAGCAGATCCATGCTTCTAAATGGGGACCCCTCTTCCTTTAGTTTGGAAATACTGGAACCAAGAGCCAGCAATCTACAGGAAAAAAAATAATCTAAAAGAACAGGCACATACATGCATAATGTCAAAAATCACAGTCCAAACCCAAGGATGTGCAGTGATAACTGTGTACGGCATATATGTGAAGTAGACCAACAGTTTTCTTGCTGTTTATTCCCACCAGATGTGGTTAGGAGCAGGAACTAAAGAAAGTGTAGGGGAGTGTGTGGTAACGTAGTGCTATAGGGCAGAATAGAGTGAATGAAAAAACATTCAATTTTCCAATACAAAGTATTGAAATTTAAAAAAAAAATCTTAACATTAATTGGCAAATTTTCTGTTGGGCTGTCTTAACAGTTGGCCCAAGACTCTGCTAAAGTGAACATTTACTCTTAATACAGAGATCATACCTAGACAACATGGGATAAAGAACTGATTCTCTGCAGAATGGTTAGAAAATGTGAGCTTGGGGATTCTGCTGGGAAGAGGGCAGGCTGAAGAGAGCTTTGTAGAGGTCTCAGGTGGAACATTTGTGCTAGTTCTGGACTATTTTCTGTGCTAGATGTGAGCAGAGAAAGAAAAAGACTTTTGTAAGGCACAGTGACTGATGGCACCTACATACTCCAAGCTGGAAGAACCATGTTTGATGGTAATCTGGTGTTTCCTGGAAACAATTATTGATATTTTCCGTGCATAACCATGAAGGTCAGAGTTCTGGGCGTTCATATCCGTGCCTAAAGAAAAGTGATGGCAGTTGTACTGATGTACAGTGCTCTGTGCTCTCGGGTCTTCTGAGATGTGCAGAGGAAAGATAAAGCAAAGTCTCTGAGTGTGGTCATTATGTGGTTGTTACCTGTTTACAGAGTAGTTTACTGTGCTGTCAACACCTATTAAATCCCAACACTAGCAGAAGATACAGAGCTACAGCTACGCCAACCCAGATAGCTGGTGTTCGCTGAATAATGAATATATTCCTACTGCAAATTTTGCCTTGCTTCTGTGCAAATGCATTAGGAATTCGCCTGTGTGTCTCTTGCATACTGATATATTGATATTAGAAGAGAATAATCATGAGAATAGTAGCTTGTAAATGAACAAGAACATATAGTTGTCTGTGTCATTACTAATAAGTCTTTGGAAGCCCAAAGTAATGATAACACTAAAATGACTGAGTATGTACTTGCTGATAAATTAACAGAACTGACATTTGGTATCTCTAGGTAGTTTCTATGAAAAATATATAAAGTTTTCCTTTGCATTTATAAGTATTTATCATAGGGTAGGTACTTATGTAGGCAACTTCATGTTTGTTTGAAGTAACTTAGAACATGTGAGTTTTGCATTTAATGACTGATGTGGTTACTTTACGTTTTATGAGAAGAGATGATTTTGTGCATACATCTAGAGCACTGTATCTTCCTGGAGCAGCATAAATTTTTTATTTAGAATAATAGTGTTCTCTTTCATCTAGGAGAAGAAAGTATACAATTTCTTGAGACTGTTAGTATAGGCTGGATTCAATATCACTTCAGTTTTCTAATTGAAAGAAACCTGCAAAGGGAGGACTTTTCAGTCCTCAATTACTTTTCATTACATTAGAAATCATTAGGGCTGCTGTGCTTAAAAATGGTCTTCTTGTGCTTCTTTGCTTTCTGTGGTGTGAAATCTCTCGAATGCTGTGTTTATATAACCAGTATTCTTATTATATAACAGGTAAGTCAGCAGTAATGAAATGGTTGAGTAATATGAACAAAATGTCATGCTGACTTGAGTCAGAACAATAAAGAGCTTTCCTTGTGCTTAGGAAAGAATAAGTATATATGTGCACTAACTGGATTTGATTTTAATTCTCAATCAGAATGTATTAAATGTGCAAGACCTACCTCTGCAATAAATACCTACGTTTTTAGTGCAAGAATCCCCAAATGAGAATTTCCATACTTGATGAGATTTAGTGATCCATGTATCTGAGTATACCTACTTCTCTCTCCTGAATCAGCTAAACACTAATATCAAAGGCAACAGTGGAAAATGAGTGAAATTTCATAAGAAAGAACGTGTGTAGTGCTCTGTTTCTTCTAGCCCTAGGCACTAAGAGATTACTTTGTGCTCTGAGGTTTTATCATTTCCCTGTAAATACTGTGCTTAGCTCTGTCAGTTTATTAAAACATTGAAATTCATAGCTTGATTATATGATTTTGGTTTAAAAAAATAAAACCGCAGCCTGTTTTGTTTGCTCAGGGAGCATTATTTACACTTTCCATTTTAAACAGGTGAATTTTTGATTTTGCTGGAGACCTGAGTGCTGTAAGCTTGTGCTACTTTTATTGTTAGTTCACCCACAGAAAAGAACTAGCACAAGGGAAGGAAAAAGGGAGGAATCCTGTGGAAAGAGAATAATAAATAATCATGTAAATGGAGACTCTCATTACAGGTGTGCCCAGTGATTGGGACCTGGTCTCTTAGACACGCAGAATTTTAGCTGTACTGTCCTAGAGGGGCCTGCAGCCTAGGTATTATTTTGTAATTATTTTGACTTGGTTTTTGAGTGCAACTTTTTGTTCTTAGAAAAGCAGATGAAATATGAAAATAGAAATCCTTAGGTTTGCATATAGCATTTAAGACCAGAAAAAGCCTTCAGATCATCTATTCTTAGCCTGGTTGCTACATTTTTCCAGTGAGCCCTCTTAGGAGCCCAGTGCCTTGTGTTTCACTAGAGTTTGTCAGACTGAATGATCCTGAGACAGCAAATCCACAGCTTTCCAGGATAATTTAGGAACGGTTACCACAAGATATTGTAACTGTGTTTTGCTTCTGATTCTTTTACTCTGATTACTGTTTTTTTTTTTTTTTTTTGTGGGTACTGAGATGACATAGTGAAATCGGTTCCTAGAAGTTTTCCCTAATTTTCTTGGGAAAGGAAGCCTGGCTATCTATCCATTATTACTCTTCTATTGAGTAGCTTCTGAGCTTTCTGGACAATATAAACAATATTAGAAACAGAGGTAGATAGTTAGGATCTTCCAGATGTGATGGATATTACATAGGAGAAAGGAACCTAATTTTATGTCCCTGTAAGAGGAAAGGAATGCAAAGTTGGCTCTTTTACTTTACCATCAACTGCTCTTGTGCTGGTGTACCTTCTGCACTGCTGTCTTTTGCTCAGAAGAGGTGCCACAGGTACATGGGAAGGAAGTTGCCAGGTTTCAGGTGTGAGGAAGGGATTTCTAATTATTTGGCTTCTTTCAGTTTTGAGTTTTAAACATCTTTTCCATAAAAGTTAGACAACAGAGCCGTACGTAGTATGCCTTACCAATCTCACCTTTTATGACAAGCAAAATGATTTCCCTATGTCCTACTTGGACAATCCTGCCTGTGTATCCAGTAATTGCCTTAATTCTTATTTTCAATATGTTGTGTCTTGTTGATACTGATGATTTGTAAAAGATCTTACAATGATTCTTAACATCTGGATCCAGCATGCAGATTTCAGCCGTGATATATAGCAGGCAAAGTAGGTGATGATGCTGGTTATTACTAGTTCCCTGGCCAAAATCAGAGCCAGTATGCGTAGTTTTGAGCAAGCTTACATACTTTAAGTCTGTACTGATGACATACAAGTGAATTTTCCAGACTCTACAAAATTCTCCACCAGGTTGCTTTTCTATTCTGTGACAGTTCTAGAGCTGCCAAAAAAAAAAGGTATCTAGACATATTTGGCATCGAAAAACATCAGGTATTTTCTTAGCTTCTGTGGCCTTAGCAAATGATTTGGACTTTTGCCTGAAAGTGTTTTGTTTTTTTTTTTTTTTTAAATCACCCTCAAGTAAACAAGCTGCATTAAAAAAAAGCTATTAAAATAAAAATTTGCCAAGAGGGTATGCAAATTGAAA